GCCCACGGCTGCCGCCAGCGTCTCCCGCCTCGTCTTCTCTGCCGCCCTGCCCGGGGTCCAGAGGGAAGCCGGTCCGTGGGGGCCCGTCTTGCACCCCCGCCCCAGGCCCCAAAGGTTTCTCGGCCCTGGATTCCAAACCTGTGAATATTCTAGAATGGGCAGTGGCCTGACTCAGCTGAGAAGAGCACTGAGACCCACTGCACCCACGGCGGCAAGACCCTGCTGAGGCGGGGTGAGCTCCCCTCAAACCCGGCTCACTGCTAGGGGTGCACACGGCAGGACAGGGCAGCAGCCAAGGAGAGCCAGGCCCCGCCCCCAGGTCCACGGGAACTGGACCGAGGCCCTGGCGGGACCCCACGCTGCCGCACTGCGGGGGTCTCTGCAGCGACAGCGACACGAGGCGCACGTTAGCAAATCCACTTTACCCCGACAGGACATCTGTCGGACTTCTGGGAAGAGGGTGAAGGTGCCCATCCAGCCCCCCAAAAGCCAGGGGATCCCTGAGTCCAGTGTGTAAACACCACGACCAGCCAGCTGTCCCCGACAACGGAGGGTCCGAGACCTTCACCGGCAGAGACCCCGAGACCAGCTGCCCCGGCTGTCCGGTGGCTCAGCCCTGAACACGGCCGGGGCTGGCAGCGAGGCCCCGGGCCACCACGGGGCGCCTGCGGGCGGCTTCAGGAATGTGAGTCCCGACCGGGGCATCCGGCAGAGGCTCTCTGGGGCGGCAGCCTCCGCGCCCCGGCTGCTGGTCCCCAACAGCCCGCGCCCCGGCTGCCGGCAAGCCCAACAGCCCGCTGGACAGGCTGCTGACCAGCTGGGTGGATGGCCGCAGGTGTGCCCGAGGGGCACAGCCCCTAGCCGGGGGTCCAGATGGGTAGGGGGTGCGCCTCGGTGTTGAACACGTAGGTGTCCAGGCTGAGCAGGTCCGTGTCGTCCGAAAAGAGCAGGTACAGGTACTTGAGCGTCTCCCCCAGAAAGAAGCTCTCCATCTTGTCCCTGGGCTGGGGGTTGCGGGGGTCCTGCACGTTGCTGATGGAGGAGAAGCCGCCCGAGGGGACCTGCACGAGCCAAGGCGGCGTCAGGCCAGCAGGACCCGCAGGGCCTGGGGCAGACGGCGCCACCCCAGTCGGCCAAGGCCCCGGGAGCTTCAAGCTGCGGGGCGGGTCCGTCTCCAGCATGGCAAGGAAGCCTGGGGCCAGCGAGGGTCCAGAGCTCCCGGCGCACAGGGGACACAGGACACAGGTCAAGGGGCTGGCAGCGGGCGGGGCCGGGGGCCTCTGCAGGCTGGCCCCAGGTCCTCCCCCCACGGGAAGGCGGGCCAGCTGCTCAGGACGCACGAGGACGCGCTGGGCGAAGCCCCGCGGCGGGGCCCAGCTCACCCGCGTGTGGGCGTTGAAGCTGCGCAGGATCTCCCAGCCCCAGTCCCGGTACTTGGGGTCCCCGGTGCAGCGGTACAGGTAGAAGAGGCTCTCCACCGTCTCGGGCCGCAGCAGGTTGTGCCTGTCACCCGGCTGGGGGGACACAGGCTCAGGCCCGGCGGGCCGCCACCCCACCGGCCCCGCCCCGCCCACTCACCTTGACCTGCACGTCCTTCCCACCCTTCTGGGGGTGCATGCTGAAGTGCACGATCTCAGGGCTCAGCCCCGTCTCCATCTGGCGGTTCATCTGGTAGCAGGTGTCCATGAGCGACTGGGCCAGCTCCATGTGGTCAGCCGGCAGGCCGTGGTGGGCGCCCAGGGCCAGGGTCCCCGGCAGGAAGCACACCAGGTGGTCCTGAGACACGCAGGCCTGCTCAGACGCGAGGCCGGGCAGCGCCC